AAAAATTGTTTTTAAAGCTGGATTTAAATTCTTATTCCTTCTCCTATTTTATCACATAGTTCTGCTTTCTGCTTTCCATAATCTCTGGCAAATAATGAAAATACTCCTCAAAAGCATGCGGGTCCTGCTATTATCTTATAAACCAGCCTCTCATCTCTGATAGCGTGTACTTACTTAGTCTCATCAGAGAAGCTGTACAGCCATAAATTTGTGAGCACTGATGCTAATGCGGATCTGTGTTCCTGTAGCTGGATGTAATTCCTTCAACTTCTTTGCACCACCAGCACTCAAACTTACTCCTTTTAGAAGTAAAATTGTCCCAGACCTTCTTGTCAGCTGTGATGAGCTGTTTAGTCTGGTGCCCAGTGTGACACATAGTGGTGTGAAGAACCGGTGTTGGCTCAGGCAAGTGCTTCTCTAGTCCAGTGTTGGGTCTTTACCACGGCAATAGCTGATGCTGTGTTGGCACTTTTTAGTGGTCCCGAATGAGGCAGCCCTGCCTTAGGGGATGAGAGATGGTATATCCTGCCTATTTCCTTTAATATCTGTCAGTTTACCAGTTGTCCATGAGTTTTTTGTACTCTGTTCTTTTATATAATTGCAAATGATCCATGCTTTCCTGCTCTCTTGATGGTCTCCAGTGTTTTGTTGGCTGTTTAGGCTGCCTCTGCATATTGAGCTGATGTTTTGGGGTCATCAAATAATAGCAGTGATGGCCTCATGATCTTTCTCTTGAGTTTCAATTATCAGTTCCAGATTCAGCATCACGGCAGCACCCATGAGCAGGTTTCCAGAGACCCTGTGCCTTTTCTAATGGTAAAACCTTGGGAAGGGTTGGCCAGGTAGCGTGCCTGAAAATGCAAAACCTGCATTGGGACCATAGTGCATAATACATTATTCTCTTAAGAAAAATCCCAGTATTTTGTCTTGTTTCACCCTAAACAAGAGGCCAGCGGGCAGAGCTGCCGGGCTAAGGAGGTTGTTCCTAGTGAGGGCTCGGCAACTGCAAGGGGGATGAGCTCCCTGTCGCTAGATCTGTTCTCTCTGTGTACATATTTCCTGACTGAATTTAAGAAAGATGTGTACAAAGGAACTGGGGGACTCTGACACTGCAAATATATCATTGGTCTTGGGTTTTCTGATTTCACCCGTTCTGCTTAGGTTTTTAAAAATTTCTGCCAAGGCTCTCCAATTCCTCTACGCTGACTCTGTACAGCACCAAGGCTGCTCCGTTATTTCTAGTAATCATTGCTTTTTGGAATCAGTCACCTTAGTAAGTGTGACTACATATCTGTGTCTACGCTCACAGGCACATAATGTATTGTACCAACCAGACAATTTCCTGGAAGTTGAAAGAGGGGGAGGAGTTGGCGAAGTGAACTCTGCTGTTGAAGAAAGCCATTATATAATGGAATAAATGGCTTTATGCCTGAAAGTTGCAATTTTCAGCATCATTTACACTGAACACCAGCCCCCCAAAAAGGCAGGTATAAAAAATGAGATGCAGTGATGACCTTTATCAGCTGTGGTGACAGCTATAAATCAGGCGGCAAATTCTCATCAGCTCGCTGGACAGAATTCATTACAGACAGAGGTTGCTGCATTGCTTTTTGTCTTTGATTGAGGTATGTCTCATTTAAATAAATGCTCTTGCACTGGAACAAATCACGCATTTCAAAACAGAAGTCCGAGAATATTATTCATTGATTCTTTTGAGGACTAAGATAATACGACTTACAGACCAGCTAAACCTCAGAGTGGAATATAATGCAGATCAATTTTTTCTTCTCTTAATCAGACGAATTTTCTGTTCATTAATTCAGACGCTGTGTTGATGCTTGTATTGAATATAATAGCAAGATTTACAGCCCTAACAAATCAGCGCTGCTTCATTTATTCTTCCTTATTCTTACCAGAAGTACACGCAGCAGATTAGCACTTGATTTTAAACTTGTTACACTTCAACAAATAACGGGAAAGTCTTTCATCTCCTACTTCCAACTATGGAGCAACTTTCATGTAATCATCTTGAAGTTTCAGTTTATTAAAGTGTTATGGTTTTTTTTGAGCACAGGGAGCAATAAAAGTTTAGTAACAATGTCATTATGGGCAGTAATGTAACTTCCATCAGTTCGTGTCTTGCTCAAGCAACAGCTACCAACTATTAACAGCCCCACAGACTCATTAGATTGATAAGCTACTTTACCTGGGTACTGAACTTTGAGCTGAGTTTCATCACTAGTTTTTTCTGTAATTAGGAAATGCCCTGAGAGGCTTACAATTATCCAAATGATTTGCTGTCCATACTTAAAATGGGATTTTTCTGTCTAGAACTTAGTACATAATTGGAAAACATTCTGTGTTCTTGACATAGGGTGATTACTAAAGCGTAATCTTTTTCAAAATGTCTGATAATTAGGTAATATTCTGCCTCTCATCTTAGTTATTCGTATTATTTCTGGAATACCTGAAAATAAAAATTTGGACTGTGTGCTTTCTGATATAACAAATGATGCTTCAGCCCTAATGGCCTAGGGATATGAAAGGGCAAGGCATGTAGGGAGCATTAACACCTTTTATTGTACCACCTCCTAAATTGTTAACATAAAGGCATTTCTTCGGTATCTGGACAGCTGGAAGCTGAAGGTGTAAATAAGTTGGTGCTGGATCAGACCCCAGAGATCATCTCTTCTGGTGTCTGGCCTTGGACAAGAGCAAATGCTTAGGGAAGATTTCAAAAAGTGGGTGAATTTTAGGGTATGCTTCTTGTCCTTCACAACCTCAGGGTCAAGGGCATCCTGAAAAACTTCTCCCCTCAAGACCCATACTCTGGGATGGATTTTTTTCCATTTTTCTAATTCTTCTTTGGACCCAAATGCAATCCTGGCACCCACTCTACTCTGGAACTGTGACTTCACAGCTTGTTTACCTTCTGCATGAAGAAATAGTCCCTTATATTTGTGTTGAACCTGTCACTGGCTGGTGTCATTTAGTGCCTCCCAATATTTATTTTGGAAAAGGCAGGGAATGAGCATTCATTATTTATCTTTCCCATGATTTTTTGACTTCTGTCCTAGTTCTGTTAAACCAGTCCCTTTCCAGGTTGAAGAATCTTTGCTTATTCAGTTATAAATCATATGAAGCAATATTTTAAAGTCATGAATATAATCAGGCATGCTTATGAAAATGCCATGCCTTTGGACAACACTCCAGAACTGACAAAATTTTAATACTGTCAAATCCAAACAGGAACTCTCTTCATTATTCTGGTCTCAAACACAAGTCTTAATCTAATCCAGATCCTGCATTTTTTATTCAGGACCAAAGGTGTTGATAAAATTTATTCCATAATTAAAAGAAAGAGGTGCTTTGAGAACTTTACCTATGAGTCTGAAAGGCTGCTGCTATGATTTGGACACTGAGAATCTTAAGTCTCTAAAATCTTGCTTGGAGAGGATCATCTGTTTTGCAGCAACAGTTTGGCCTCACAGAATCTGATTCATCCCAATCTCAGAAAAGACTTTTTCTTCCTACGCTTACATGTAAAACTGTGATATGTAGGAAGTGACTGTTTTTATTGATAGTAATAAACAGAGCCTAGAAGCTTTTTGTTTGCACTTCCAGAGGATTTTACAAAGATGGTTAATGACTGTGATGAGGAGTGTCATCAGCAGTTTAGAAACTGAAAAATGGATGAAGAGGGAGCATACTAGGTCTGTACACCAAAATTTTGGAAGAACTGGGTCTCTGGACCCAGTTGTCTTCAACAGGTTACCCTGAGCTGGGCCATGCGCATCTGTTTGTGGTCACAATGAGTTGGGTCTGTGCTTTTATGAATCCGGTAGGATTTAAACTCACCTTTGACTTATATCAGGACAACCCGTGGGTAATGTTTAACCACTCACATGTCCCTAACTCTTGTGGGATGCAACATGGTAGCCACCCTAGGGTAGCTACCGTGAGGGTAGGCAATGAGGAATTGCTTCCCTGGCTGAAGTTGAAACTGGAGGCAGAAGTTTGGTAGGATCCATCAGTTCTCAATCTTAGTTCAGCCAGGCTGCAAAAAACCAGTAACCCTTCTCCTGTGTCAGGAAGAGCTCCTGAAGGTTTTATGGCAATGTACTTGGAACTTATGATTTATGGTTTATGTTTTGTCTGTGGGGCAGTGCATGTAGGCGCTGATCAGACTTGAACTTCAGTTTATGACATCTGTGGTCTGACAAGATCACAACCCTTTATTGTAATATTTTTTCATGCTGAACCTTTGACGTGCCACCCAACCCTCATTTGGAGTCTCTTCCATATGTCTACCCCCGCCTTTCCGTCAAGTAGGTTTTGAGCTTTGAGCTGGAGACTGCCTCCCACCTGTGTAGCAGCTACCATGGGGGATTCTTGTCCTTGACTGGATGTCCTGTCTGCTGGGGTATTCCCAAAGTGCAATAAGAACAAGCTGATTTGTCCTGTTCCATGTGAATATGGCAATTTCTTCTCATGCATATCCTTCTGGTATTAATTTGCAGGACAAATGGCAGAGCTGGAAGATTGCACAGTATGGGGTTCAAGAATCTGCTTTGTTAGAGGGTGATTTGCCTTTAACTTTCAGAGACTTTCTAGGCATGTGGCTTATTAAACTCCTACAGAGACTGAGGATCTTGGAAACCTTTAAGCATACGGAACGTTTTTTGACCATGTTTTTTTCTACAGTAACAATACAGCAAACTGTGTCTGTACATTCAAAACAGGTCACCCTCTTGCATTCAGCTCTGGGAAAGTGTGGCAGAATAAATATGTGACAAACACTAACCAAGCTGTTTAATGACTAATCTGGAAGCCACTTTAACATCACAGCAATGGCTGCATTAAAAAAAAAAAATAAAAAAATAAAGGTGTTCTTTAGAGGGAAGTTCACAGCAGCACTTTTGGTTCAAGCCCATAATTAGGTTCTACAGAAACAGGCAAATTCAGATTTCCTTAATGTTCTTTTCTTTTCCTCCTTGCAGATAATGAATTCATTTATAGAAATCAAAATGGCACAGTGATTCTGAGGAATGTCGAAACTAACAATTCAACAGTATTAATAGAAAACAAAAAAATTGTAAGTATTTTCTATAACAAGTAGCAGAATTTCACAGTTCTCTTGCAGTTGTATCAGTAAAGCAGAAAATGACTTGGGTTTCAACTTCGCCTATTATCAAGGAGAAGCAATACTCCAGTATTACTATGGGCTTTGCAATGACTGATAACGTGAGATTGAACTCCAGCTTTTGTTATTGTTCTGCAAGCTCAGTTTCTTTCATACTACAGGAAAGTATCATATAGATATTTGAAGCTAGTCTTGCATATCATATATAATTGAAAGATGCATAATTCTCATCTTTGCATGCTTAATAGAAAAGACAATTGATACAATTTACTCTCTGTTGGTAGCATTCTCCACATTCCTCCATGCAAGTATTTATTTTGTAATTTGTGGATTTGCTGATTTTTCTTGCCTAATGGTTGAAATGTAATTTCAGTGTTGTTAATGAATAGTGTTGATGAATGGAAGTGGAGTTGCGTATGAGAGAAACCCTAAGAAATTAGTGGGAAAAGAAGTTAGTAGGTGGCTATTAAAATGAATGAAAAGAAAATAAATTCACAGCTGATACAGAGTATTATTTATAACGATGAAAGTGGTTTGTGGCACTGTTTTTTGTAGCAGATAAAGCCAGCATTGTGGCAAAACTTAGTACATTAAATGTCAGAGTATTTTCAATATTTCCTGTAAGAAGTTAATTTCCTAGGTAGGCTATGTTTGCTCCAACAATGAGATATGAATCATGTCATCCTGATAAAATTGTCACTTATGCAGTACCTGCCTAAGGTTTTGGTTAACTTGAGGTGGTTTTGTTGTACTGTATCATTGCAAAACTACAAAAGAAGAGTATGGCTAACAGAGACTTATCTCAATCACCCAAGATCTGCAGAAAACAGCTTTAGAAACTCAAAAGCTAAAAGTAAATCTACAAGAAAACTATGAAATCACATTCCAGGTTGATTTTATTTTGCAGTATGAGTATATGACTTATACAAAGCTCAAGTACAGTATTAATTCTTTTTTTAAGGAGACAAAGTATTTATCACTGAATTATTATTGCAGGTCCCAACCTTAAATTTCACATGCTGCCATTTAACCTTCATCCTCTGCTATATCACATAAGCAATCCTCTTTTACCAGAGTGTAACCCCTTTCTTTAAAATTCTGCTAAAGGTAAAGGAATGAGCTGGCTTCCTTTAATGTCAAGGTCTTTTGAAGTCAAACTGCTTCCATTTGGCCTCTGGTTATTCCCCTGTTTTTTTATTTTTGCCATTTGTAAGAAAAGCAGTGTTACAAGATAATCCTACTTTGTCATGCCATGGCCTCCCTACTGCCTGTTCCACCCTTGCTCCTCTGCTCTCTTGGCAAATAAATCTGGAGAACATCACCTTTACATTAATCCAGAGAGTCCCCAAACAAGAGCCACCGTCACACCTGCAGCCAGGAATGTTTGTCCTGTACCTTCCCAGCCCTGGGTCAGAAAAGCTTTTGCTAACTTGGCATGTTTTCCTTTCTCAATGTTATTAATATAACAGTAAATAAAATCTGTCTTCATGCTGACATTGCTGGCTCTCATGCTCCCCTGGCACCCCCAATCCTGATCCATGCTGGCCCATCAACCTATTAGGTTGCCCAGAGAGGTGGTAGATGCCCCATCCCTGGAAACATTCAAGGTCAGGTTGGACTGAGCTCTGAGCAACCTGATCAAGTTGAAGATGTCCCCGCTCATTGCAGGGGGGTTGGACTAAAGGTCCCTTCCAACATGAACCATTCTGTGATTCTATATCAGTCCCCTCTGCCTTTGCCTGTCCCCTGGGTTCCCCACGCACTGCCTCCAGCCTCACTGGCCTTGGGGAGGACTCTCCCAATGGGATGCTGTGCATTGCCCCAAAGCCTAAATTCCCCCTTCCAGTTCAGTCCTCGGGAATCTCTCAGGGACTTGCATCTAATTTGTTAGGTGAGAGGATGAGATTTCAAAGGCAGTGGATGAGCGGCGTGTTAGTGGCACCTCTGTTTGACCTCGGTGCGCCAGCAATGTATTATATAGAAACACACTGGAAAAGAGAAGAGATGTCTGCACTATACAAGTGATCAGTGGAGCAGGGAAAAGGTAATTCCTGACAAGTCTGAGATATTTTGGCATGTCTTCTTGTTAGTAAGACTTACAGCGCAGTTTTTTGCAGAACCCAGGTCAGGGTGCACCTGGAAAGCTGTATCACCACGGCATCCCAAAGGCTTCTTTGACTGGGGAGAATGGGATAGGATTCCTCAATGTTGTCCTAATTGAGACAGGTAGTCATGTCTCCTTCTAACAATTTGCTCCAGCAGGTATTTGCTGTTTATTATCTCCAGCACTTTGGCCAGTGACTGCAGGGAACGAGAGGGAATTAATAAATTGACATTTATGAGGGTTTTCTACTACCTGCTGCCCACAGCTGCCCCACCAGCCAGTAGATTTGTAAGGAAAATTCTGATTTTTTTGAGGTAGCTGCCTGGTCTGAGTCACAATGCAGTTATGCTTTCTCTTACAGGAGTATATATGTGCCCACATAACATTTATGGGTTTTGAAAAGATATGTGATTGCATTATTTTTCAAGACACTTAGTCTGGCAGTACTCTTCATTGTTAGAAACATGGTCATAAGAATTAGTTATAGGCATTATTGGCTTGAAAACTGAAAAATATTTATTTCAATGTCTGATTTATTTTCTAGGTCTCCTTAAAGGCTATTCGATATGAAGTGTCACCTGACCGGGAATATGCACTTTTTGCTTTTAATGTTGAACCAGTAAGTAAATAGATTTGTTTTCCAAATATACAGCCCATGGTGAGCTTTTTTTTTTTGTCCACTTCTATGCCAGTAAGACAATATTTGAAATTAATTGCTTCCTATGAAACAAAGAAAGAAACCCCTTGCTGAGATGTTCTGAGAGCGTGTCACACTGCCATCTAGTAGAGGAGAAAGGTATAAATTACACCTTACATTGCCAGGATTTTGTAGTCTTTGGGAGAGGGATTGTAAGAACATGTCTTTGCTACAAGGATTTCTATTCCCCTTCTGTGTAATTTTTTTTCCATGGTGCCTTTTTCAGTCACGCTATAAATTGCTTCCCAAGAACAAAAAGCAACTGTCAGTGTCTCCCACAACTGAAATAATGCATTAATTATGGTGTCACCGTTCCCAGTGCTGCAGTTAGGCTTGAGCTATCGCTTTCATTATAAATCCTTTTCTTCAGAGGGTTAGGTATAAATCATTCGTAAGAAATCACCGTTGGGTTACTACTAAGTTTTAGATTAGGGTGAATTTTCTACCAAACTTCAAAAGAGAAAAGTGTAATGAGTCACTTTTAAATGATGACTAAAGAACCAGAGACATGGGAAGCAGTTCTTGGGCATGAATAATATTTATTTGCTTTTTAAATTCTGCTGGTATAAGACCTGAAATGTTTGAATGATAGCTATGCTGTACTACTTGGATAAACTATAACCCCCATACATTTTGTTTCGATAATCTAGAATTGCACCAATTCCTCAAAATGAAAATAATTCATTCACCCACAACTTTAATTCTTATTCCATAAAATAAATCTGGTTTCAGCTGCTAACCAAAGGAAATTTGTCGGTTTTTTAGCTAATAGATGTTATGTCTCTGTTGTTCATCTGATTTCTCTGCTGTCATCTTTGAAGCTATTCCTGACTCAGGGTGGTATAAAAGTCAGGAGAACCATGCCTGCTGTTAGAAAAAGTTCAAATAAAACTGTATCAGAAACTTTAGGGGTAATTCATAAGGACTTTTTGCTGGGAAATCATTGTTGCTGCAGCTTCGCTTACCTGAAGCTTAGTAGAGTTCTAGGCAGACATGGATGTGGAAGTGTTAAATTAAATCTAAATACAGGGAAGACAGCCTAATGGCCACTGAGCCTCTGCCTGAAAGCCCCCCTGCTTGTGTGCCAGGGGTGTTTTGTAAAATTCAATTCTTTTAGTGAAGATTGGCCTTTGGCTGTGGAAGCCCTGTGCTGACACTGCTCAGATGCATCGTGCAACCTGGAAGAGCCCCAAGCAGGGAGGGCTTCCTCAGATCCTCTGAGAACGAGAGAAAAATTCCTATAACAAGAAAAATTATAATGAGAGAAAAAAATTCATTCCTAAAAAACAGTAGTAATAAATTTGCTTTTCATTCTCAACCTTTACCCATCAGAAGAGCTGCAGATTCAGAATATCTGCAAGAAGCAAAGTTAGAGAGGCTTTTGCAGCCAAGACTTTGCGTTCTGCCTGCAAAGGAACACTTGATGCAGGCGATGGAGAAGAGGAGGATGGGAATGGAAAGGGGTGGACTGGGAATGTTTCCTTCACATCCTTCTCTTTGCATTCCAGTGCTTGCAGATCTGTGGGTTTGGGGGCAAAACACTGGGGTGCTTTAGATGCCTGCCTGGAGAAGGGAGAGCAGCACACAGCAAGGTGCTCCCTTCCTCACACCGTGTCTTCTTCCAGAAAGGCAAACCCAAGGTGGCAAGCTGGTAACATGACCTTTGGGAAGATTTCAGGATGTGACTATGTTGTGGTTTAACCCAGCTGGCAACTAAGCACCACGCAGCCGCTCGCTCACTTCCCCCCCTCCCTCAGTGGGATGGGGGAGAGAATCGGGAAGAAAAAAAGGTTAGAGCCGAGGGCTGAGATAGAGACAGTTCAATAACAGAAAATAATAATAATAGTAATAATGAGAATGGTAAGGGAATATACAGAATATACAAAATGAATGATGCACAATGCAATTGCTCACCACCCGCTGACCGATGCCCAGCCTGTCCCATGTAGAGATCACTCTCCAAGCCGCGACTGACTGCCTAACTCCCCCGAGCATGACGTTCTATGGTCTGGAATAGCCCTTTGGTCAGTTTGGGTCAGCTGTCCTGGCTGTGCTCCCTCCCAGCTTGTTATGCACCTGGCCGAGCAGGAGAAGCTCAAAAAGTCCTTGAGTAGTCTGAGCTCTACTTAGCAACAACTAAAAACATCAGTGTGTTATCAACATTCTTGTAGTACTAAATCCAAAACACAGCACTATGCTAGCTACTATGAAGAAAATGAACTCTATCCCAGCCAAAACCAGCACAGACTAGACGTATGTTTAGTGTAAGAGAGCATTGCAAATTGTTCAAGCATTTATATAGGAGATTATGAAAGCAAGAGTTCCTGAAATGGTCTTCTGAAAAAAAAGAAAAACGAAAACCTCCGGCCTGTAGTTCCCTGGGTCCTCCTTCTTGCCCTTTTTGAAGACTGGAGTGACATTGCCTGTCTTCCAGTCCTCAGGCACCTCTCCTGTTCTCCATGACCTTTCATAGATGATGGAAAGTGGCTCGGCAATGTCGTCTGCCAGTTCCTTCAGCACTCACGAGTGCATTCCATCAGGGCCTATGGATTTGTGGGTGTCCAGCTTCCTTAAAAGATCCCTAACCTGATCCACATTGACAGAGGGAAGGTCGTCCTTTCTCCAAGCTTGCTTGCTTACCTGCCAAGACTGGGGAGCCTGAGGGCCAGCCTTGACAGTGAAGACTGAAGCAAAGAAGAACTTCTTTACTCTGAGGGTGACGGAGCACTGGAACAGGCTGCCCAGGGATCTTGTGGAGTCTCCTTCTCTGGAGATATTCAAAGCCTGTCTGGATGAAGTCCTGTGTAACATGCTCTAGGAGAACCTGCTTTATCAGGGGGCTTGGACTAGATGATCTCCCGAGGTCCTTTCCAACCCTTGAGATTCTGTGATTCTGTGAACCCAAAACTAAACTCCCTACTTTTTTTTTTAAGATCGATTAAGATCTTATAAAAGATACAGAGAGGTTTGTTTTTTTTTTAAGAAGCATACTAATAGAGGGGTAGTAAAATTAATTCTTGAATATTGCATCCTTAAGCCATGATGGGTGGTTCTTTGTTTATTAAAATTGCAATAACTGTTAAATTAATTATTCAGCTTTCTCCTCACTTGGTGTGCAGACTGTGGGTAGTTAGGTTTTTACATTTTTTGCATTTCAAACTGTATTCTTGGATAAAATTCAAATTACACTGTTTTCCACAACACAAGAAATTGATTAGCAAGGCCTTGGGCAGTTGTCCTTGTTGCAAAGTCAAAAGAAAATTTCAGGAAATGTATTGTCAAAGGACGTTTGTTTCAAGTTTAATTCTACAAATACTTAAAAAAAAAACCCCAAAACTTCTTAAAACTACTGTGTACTTATTTTATAGGCGTCAGAAAGCGTGGCTTTATTTTTTGCCATTTAAAAGTGTGATGTGCTGCCTTTTAATTGTGAGCATAGATGGAATCACAGAATCATAGAATCATAGAATCCTAGGTTGGAAGGGACCTCAAGGATCATCTGGTCCAACCTTTCTAGATAAGAGCACAGTCTAGGCAAGATGGCCCAGCACCCTGTCCAGCTGAGTCTTAAAAGTGTCCAATGTGGCAGAGTCAACCACTTCCCTGGGGAGATTATTCCAGGGGCTGACTGTTCTCATGGTGAAAAATTTCCCTCTCATGTCCAATTGGAATCTCCCCAAGAGCAACTTATGTCCATTCCCCCTTGTCCTCTCCATGTGACTCCTTGTAAAAAGGGAGTTTCCCTCTTCCTTGTAGCTCCTTGTAGATGTTTTCATCTTTTTTTTTACACAATAGAGTTGTGCCTCATTTACATATGTGTATAATATCTTAATATGCATCATATGAATTAATCATTTATCTGAATTCTAATATGAACGGATTCAGCCTCTATTTTTAATACCAGCTAGGAAAAAAACCATCAAAATAGAAAAGCATAGTGTGTCACTCTCATGAAGTGAAATATTTCAAAGAAAAATGCTACAAAGTCATTTCCTGCCAGTAATAGCTTCCTTCTAAGGTTTTTCTATTTATTTGCACAGAAGCGTCTCTGCTCGGTGTTGGGTCTGGGTAACAGCAGTGACACCCACACTGGAATAACACAGCCCTGAACTGGCAGGCACCTATTTTGCAAAGATATTGAGGCAACTAATATGTGTTTTCCTGTTGTATCACTTCGTCATCTTAGAGGATGATGAATTAAAGCATGTTTCTTAAAATACATTTCTCCCAGGAAGCTTGGCAGGCGGTTGTGAGACTGGCGTGGGTACACTGTGGCTGGTCCGGCTGTCAGGTTTCATTCTAAATGCTTTTTTGCCGTGCTTGTATTTACAGAAGTTTAATCTTTCAGGCAGCAATATTCTGGGTAAGCCTTGTGCTAATAGGGAGCTTTTCTAACCTTGAACACAGAAGATTTGTTCTTTTTCTGGAAAGGTCATAGGGAAGGCACCAGGGTTCTTTGTCTTTAAAATACTCTTGCAATTTTTCTGGTTTTTTTTGTTTCTTTACAGTAGAGCATGTCCAACCTGAGGCTGAAGCCCCAGGATGAAGTTTTGGGAAAGCACTGGGGAATGAATACATCCACAGAGAATCTTTGATTTCAGATCACCCTTCCTCAAAACAAGTGTGTGGGGCTCTGGCTATAGGGTTCAGTAACCCCAAAACACACAGGCAAATTGGGGTTTAGCCACAGCATCTCAGCAAAAAGGGTGCAGAGGGTCAAGGCTGCCCTGGGTCGTGTCAGGTCAAGGCCACTCCTGCCCAGCGCGTGGCTCCACCAGTTTTGCTGGATGAGCCCCATGCTCCCTGCGCACCTCCCGGGGAGACACAGAGGTCTCTGGTGTTTGGGCTGGAGTCATGTTTGTAGGTCTCTATGGTCTTCAAAAGGGACTTCCTAAATAGCCAGGCGACAAACCGCTTCTTAA